ACATCGACCCATGTAAACACTTGTTGCAGCCACCGAGTTGCTGCAAGCTGCACCCGGGCGACACTCTGAGCAAATCCACTTTGAGGACAGATTTGCTCGTCGAGCCCCTTGCAAGACTCTGCTTCAAATTTGCTTAGGCTACAGCGATTCTTCCCTTCGCTCAGGAGACAGGCAAACTTCACAATATTGTGGTGTAAGGGAGATACCCTTCTCAAGAAAGCCGAACATCAACATGTGTGAGACCCATTTGCCAACATGGGGGTCTCAACTTGGCAGGACGTCAAATTTCAATGGGTCGAAAAATGAAATTCTCAATGCCATCATGGGCGAGGCGGGCAGCCTCATTGGCTGCAAATTGATCACTTCCAAGCCATTCTAATGCCTTCTTTGAAGATCGAACACTTGCACGAGGCTTAGCAACAAGTCACCAGTTGTTTGCTGCTAATCGGTGGTGCTTTCGGACACCTTCCCTCCTTATGTCGATTTTGTGATAATTGCATAACCTCTTAGCGTCACAGGTCGGGACCCCCACCCACCCATCCTACCGTCAATTTGACACTAAACGTACCAAAATCGACAAAGTGTCTTCCCAAACTCAATGCTGGCCTGCTCAGGCCATCTCATGCGGTGCATGCACCGCATGCGGTTGATACTGATCGTTGTTAGCCATTTACATCAGTATTCCACGCTGTGAAACGGTGGTCACTAACAATGACTCATTGTGTGGCGTCACAAAACATTTGATGTTTGAAACTTCCTATGCAGCGACAATTACAGATGTGCACGAATTTCCATGAAGTGCTCTCGGATTTGAGAATGAAAGGGCGCAAATACAAGTGTCAAAAACGTTTTCAAGCAGAGGAAGTACAAACGGAGCGATAGCCCGAGCGACTGCACACTACCCATGACATGGGTCTATCAGAATTCCCTGTCAGCTTCCAGGCCATGGCAGTCTTTACTATCCTGGGCAATTGCTTTCAAGGTTCGGCCATCAGATGGCCACAGATTCTGTGCACTGTCCCCCCTTTATAACAATGGGCCCCACGTACTGCCTAATTGCCACAATATCATCGACAACAGTGTACACCTCTCAAGGCAGACAGCATGTCTAGGACTTCTGGGACTGGGGCACTGTCTGGGACCTCTGCACCAGACTGAGGGTTTTCGTAACCGTTGTCATGTCTGTGCGGCTCGAATGCATCTAGACCCCTTGGGCTGCAGCGACCAATGGTACGGGATGCACTCACGGTCTGTCACACGTCTTGAGCAATATCTTGCACTCTGAATCTAAATCCATACCAACAAAGGTGGTGGACGTTATGTAGAGCTCAATGTCGTAACGGTTCAAGGATTCCTCCGCATCTCCACATTCGCCACATCACGACCTGGCTGGGCTCGACTTGCATTCTCTTTCCACTCGCTGGTCTCACCACCCAACTACGTACTGCAACCAACTGGACCACCAGCTACACTGGTACAGTACCCGCACCATACTCCCTCGTTTCCGCATTTCCCAAATCCTATCCCCGCCATGAAGGCCGAACATGAATCGACATTGTAGTCGTCCCCTGTTCCGTTTCTGAGTGGATCCTGTGTTTCTCCTCCCTAGATATTGATGTTGTACCCAGCCCACGTCAGGGAATGTTGTTGGTCCACAAACAAGGCTTTCTTCATTCCGTTTCATCACCTTGAGCAAGGCGAAAACCGCACAAGCTGGGGAGCCAACAATACAACACCACCTTCGTTGCAGAAGCCAGATGAGTTGAAATCATCTGGACACCAAACGCGTTATACAAGAAGAATTTTTGCACCTGTCAATGCCTTGTGCTCCAGACACTCGCCTTCAGGAATGCTAACTGCAAATCAGGAAAAGTGCACAGTCAATGTCCTGTCACACTGGCTGCTGGCTCTCAATTCAAGTTACTTGGGATGCCCCAGCTACAGCAGCCACCTGCCAAGCTTGGCCTCATTTGGATGAAGAACTGTTCTTTGGCGTGTGAAAGACCATGGGTGCCACCACAGGGAGCTGCTGTTCGCTGTAAATTGCAAAGATGTTAAACCGACTGGTGCCACATAAAACGTGTACATGGAACAACTCTGGGGCAACGCATTATGGCACTGTTGCAAGATCTAGAGGGTATGCGCCCATCATGTCGCCCACAGCGTCAATTTCAACGTTGCTACTGATGAGCTGGTGCAGGCCGGTTCCCAAGTGTGCATAAGCAAGTTTCAACATGTCTCACCTGCGTAATGCTCCATTGCTTTGATTTCCAGATACGTGAAAAGCTCTAGCAGTTCGTTGTTCAGCTCCTCCATCTACTTTACACTCAGTGCTTGAACCCACCCTGGTTGATCGATATATGAGATGACATCTTCGTCCATCGGTTCATCACCTGGCTACAGCTTTTGCTCGAGCCTGCCCATGGGGTTGCACTCGAAACAAGCATCCTGACATTGGTGTGCCCTTAGACGTTCTCGTGAGTTCCTTGTGACAAAATGGGTTACCTTGTGTACCATCTGGGCAGGCATCTTTAGCATCCAGTGGGCCCTCTACCCCACGCTGTGAATCCTCTACGAAATCTGATGAAAGTTCCTCGATATCCAGTGCAGCATTTGTACCCTGTGTGGCTTCTGCTACCACAGTTGGTCCTACCACGTCCTTAGGTGGCTGAGCGGCATGTGTTTCTTCCTTTACCTTAGCAGGACCACCCTTTGCAGGATTGAGCACCTTCCACAGTCCCTGAACATACTCTGCGCATGCCATGGTGCAACAGTGTCACCTTAAACAGGTGTAGGAGCTGGACCCCATACTGGTGCACTAGCTCCTGTGTTGTTGCTTTCTAGCTGTTGATACCTGATGTCATCACAAGTGGACATTGGGTTCCTTCATGAGTACCAGGCTTTGGCTGCGACAGTATCACCTTGACGCAGGCAGCCAGGAGCCTTGAGAGACTGAGAACAACACAACACAGTCTGCAAAACTGGCTGTTCACTAATTCTGATTGCTTCGATAGGGTAAAATTGGCCACTGTGAGTCAACCTGCAAGCAACAAAAACAGTGTGGCCCATTCAGCAACATACCACCAAGTGGCAACAGAAGTGGGTGTGCCTTTCCAAGCATTGCTTCGATTGCTGAAACCACGTCAATGCCGTTTGCCTTTGCCCGCAGCTCGTTGTAGTAATCCAGCAGAGTGAAGAACTCATCTGGCACCTTGATCAGAAGAGAGACAATAAACCGAAATTGCATGGATTCCAATGGCCTCGTTCACAGCCACAGACTTGATGCACAATGATCAGGGGGAAAGGCTGCATTGCACGAATGGTTTGCCATCCCAAGTTGCTATGTTGACTGGCAGTAGTGTGCACCAAACCTCTGTGGCTGTCTGATAGCAGGTACCGCACAAGCAGCATGAGCAAAATGCACAAAGCAAAGTACAATCTGCTCCACACTGAGGAACAGCTCCCCACCCCAGGCGTCAATACAGGAATGGCATTGGAAATAGCAGGAATGCCAACAGGAGACTACTGCAAGCCAACAACACAGCAGCACAGAAGCTCACTTCATGTAGACAATTGCTGCTTTCTCTGGACCCAATTCCACCTTGATGCACTCCAGCAACAACTTAACATCCACAAGTGCCTACCTCTTTCGCAGCTCAGCTACCAGTGCACAGGCGTCTCTCAACCTGATGGCTATGGTGTCCACATCTTGACGCCCATATCTTGTGCATCTCCCTCCAATCTGCCACTCAGGTCTTAATAGAAGCCCACAGGTGAGTCGAAATCATCAAGAGGCCTGGGGAAATTGCACTAGGAGAAGTCTCCAACCAGTCAAGAGCCTTGTGTGCTGGACACCAGAAGTACACAGATGCCAGCAACAAATCAAACAACATGCAAAATAAGTATCCAGTCGCCTAGGCTGCAGGCTCACAACTCAAGCTACTAGCCACACCCCTGCTACAACAGCCACTTCTCAAGTACGGTGTGCTTTGTTGGGAGAACAACAATCCCAGCAGGACTGTTCTTTGGTAATTGAAGGACCATGGATACCACCTCAGGGAGCAGCAGTTTGCTTGAAATTCACAGTGTGCATCTCAAACATGTGGACCTGACTAGCACCACATGCAAGCTGTGACGGCAGCTGTCCAGCTTTGCATAGATTGGCACAAAGTGTTCTAGCACTGCTTCAAGATCCATGAGGGTGTACCCATCACGTCAACCCACTGTATCTATTTCAACATCACTGTTGATAAGCAGATACAGTGTTGTGCCTACAGATATTCACACAACTCTCATCTGTTGAGGTATTTTGTTGGGTCAATCCTCAATTCTATAATAAACTCTCCGTCGTTCAGTCGCTCCACTTGCCCTTTTGTCAACACTTGACCCCACACTGGTTGCTAGACACATGGCACTCAGGGGGGAGGCACCACTAGCTTCCCCCAAGGCGAGAAGCTTGGACATGTCCTCTCTTGGTGACTCCCGTGCAAGGCGTGAGGGACCCTGTTCAGCCTCTGCGCCGCCCTTTGCAGCATCAGATGAGCCCTCTGACCCATAACGCATAGGCAAGGCTGCATCCTCAGACTCCGGTTGCACTGTTATCTGGTGCTTGGCAGGCATAAAAGCAGTGCCCTCTGCCAATGCAGTGGGTCCTGTGTTGCTGCTCTCCAGCTGCTGAGCTTCGACCGAAGCCATATCAAAAGACGCTGCTGGCCCACATGACGAGGCTGTCTTCAGGGGCTCCCATCTGGCTCCGGCAGCCATTTCATCACCTTCAACCAGGAAACCAGCGACTCTGAGATGGAGCCAAAAATGCAACTAAGTCCACAAAACAAAATTCCTTACCACTTGTGATTGACATGGGATGGCAAAATTTCCCCAGTCCAGGTCAACCAGCAAGCCACAGAATGCCTTTATGGGTTTGGGCCATTCAGCAGCATACCGCGAAGTGCCCTTGGCAGTGCATGTGTCCTTCCCAACTTTGCCTCGATTGTGCCAACCACATCAAGGCCGTTCACTTCCGCCCATGCCTGCAGCTCTTTGTAGTACTCCAGTGGCGTGTGGAACTCATCTGGCACCCTGATCAGCACAGACACAACGCACTGACATCGCATGGTTTCCCATCGCCTCATTCATAGCCACAGACATAGCAGCACACTCAGTCAGTGGCTGGAAGCCACACTGCGTGAATGCGGTGTCATTCCTCACTGGCAATTGTGACTGGTAGTCGTGCATAGATCCTGGTGGACCCTAGTGGTGTGCTGATGTCAGTTTTCTACAAGCTGGCACTGCACAGGGAGTGCTATCAAAATGCACACAAGGCAAAGGGCAATCTGCTGAACACACTGAGGAACAGCTCCCCTAATCTGGCTCCAATATAGCACTGGCAGGGGAAACAGCAGAAAGGCCAATACTAGATTGCTGCAAGTCAACCACACAGCAGCACAGAAACTCACTTCGTGTAGATGATTGCTGCCTTCTCTGGGCCCAACTCCCCTTTGATGTACTCATCCAACACCTGGACATCCTCAAGTGCCACCCTTCTTCGCAGCTCGATCACCAGCGGGTGGTCGTCTCCCAGCCTGGTGGCCAAACTCGCCGTGACATCCACCTCTGATGCATCACCCTCCAATCTGCCACTCAGGTCTTCGTAAACGTCCGCAGGTGATTCAAAATCGTCAAGAGGCCTGAGGAGATAGCAATGTGCAATTGTATTGCTTGGGAGTCGTGAACTAGTCAGCGCCTCATGCGCTGGACATCAGAAGTTCAAGGGTGCCAACAACACATCAAACGACGTGCGAAATAAGTGTCCTGTCACATGGGCTCCTGGATCCCAACTCTAAAACAGCCACTTCCAAAGCACAGCAAACCACACTGCCAACAGGACTGTTCTTTGGGTGGATGAAGGACCATTGATACCACTACAGGGAGCCCCAACTGCCGCAACTGTCCTGGCAACTGTCTTGCTTCACACGCATTGGGGCAAAGCATTGCAGCACCGTGTTGAGATCGAGGGACGTGTGCCCTTCACATCGATCTGCTGCGTCTGTCCCAACCTCATCATGGATAACAGGTGCAGGGCAGTGCCCAACGATATTCATTTGAGTCACAGCAAGTCTCGCCTGCCGAAGTACCGTGTTGGGTCAATTCCCATTTCCATGAAAAGGACTTCCAATTCGTTGTTCAGCTCCTCCACTTCATCTTTTGTCGATCTTTGGCCCCCAATTGGATCAGCATTTGAGATGCACACTTCATCACTCGGCATGTCGACACCACCACCGAAGCAGGACAGAAGTTTGGACATGAACCCCTCCCTGGGTCCTCCCACCACCTCTCTTAGTGACTCCCATGTGACATACGAGGCACCCTGTGCAGCATCTGGGCTGTCCTTCGTTGCTTTTGGTGAGCCTTCTGCCCTGAATGGTGACTCTGACTCAACTGGTGGATCTGTTCCCTGTCTCGTGGCACTTGGTTTCTCCTTCACACCACAAGCTTTCCTTGTCCATATGAAAGACATTCGGATATGTTTGGTTGACATGATGTTGATAACAGCCTTATATACAGCAAGGCAAATATCTCAGTGGCCATCTTCTGAATTATGGCATCATCACCAAAACTCTCGATGTTTCTGTTGTGCATTTTGGCAAAACAGAATTGAAGCCCCTCAAAAAAGTCATACCAAAATGCTTCCTCTGGCCAGACATACATCAAGCTCTGTGTGACGCCATACTTGTATCATGTACTGCTATGTAGTACTAGTGATTTTTACTTGTGAATCGGATCAGGCACCATATGCTACTCAAAAAAATGTCACAAGCAGCTCAGGCCATAAGGACGAACAATCTCACTGTCACAATGTCACACATGCCCCACCACATACACACAACTGAGACACCCTGAGACTGGCATTGCAAGCAGCACAGTGAGCATTTGCAGGCGTCGCTTTCAGGGATCCCTGTGGCTCGTGCAAGGACAGCTGGACTTTGAACTTATTCTCTGGCAAGCCTTTGACCATTCATGCGCATCTGCTAGTTTGCAGACTGATCGTCTGTCTGTGAATTGGCATCACAGGGAGTTTTGGGTCCATATGCGATTGTCCATTCGAGACTGCTGATGCCCATTACTTAAATCTACGAAAACACGCCACAGCGATGATGTCATCTGTCTGTGTTCATGACATTTCAAGTGTGCCAGTGCACTTGAGCACAACCAGGAGGAGAGCTACAGCAGCCAATGACTGCACGCCCTGGGTGCTTGTAACTTGAGGACATGATCCCAGGTCCTTGGTACACTGATGACGGCCATCGCTGGCACTGGTAGCCATCGTCCACAAAAGTACTTTCCTGTGGGGCTTCGCACAAGGCCAGAAAGTGAAAAGGGGACGCACATGGACCTCAGCATCGGTGACTAAATATGTGGCAAATCTGTGGCTTTTGTCAGTTAGCTGCCCTGGGGGGCCGGGGGCTATCCGAAAGAAATGAATTCAGAGTTCGTCCATCCATGAATTATGTCATTTGCGCCAAGTTGCAGAATGATGCTCCATCCGTGCCAGGCAATCCAACAACTTCCCAACTGCTGCCTACTTCACAAAAATTTCCCAAACTCAGGAAACTGTGTGAATGGGGCTGTCCACACCTCATCTTGCAAACTGTGCTCCATCAAAGCACATGGCAATTCTTCAGATCCTGATGACTGGAATGCAAGTTCTTGGAACTTGTTTTGCAGTCGCTCTAACCGTGCTCGATCTGTCCTCACTGTTGCTTGAAGATTGCCAGAACCGCCCTTTCAACACAAACAATAACCAAGTTAATGTAGGTTATGTACCAATAACAGTATGAATGTGAATGGGTGCACACTGAATAATTGCTGCGGATGGTTCTTTTTCTGCACCATCTCCACACAGAGAAAGAAAGAACTCAGTCTGAAGGCTCCAGTGTTCAACTTTTGATGTTGACCACAACAATAGAGCACATTTTTCAAATATCAAGACCAACATTGTCATGCCACATCGTACGTCTAAATTAGATGTTTATGGCCACGTTGGTACCACTTTTGGAATAAACCACACAATGGAAACACATTCACATTCAGCAATTGTTCTATACTGGTCAAGAAATTCTTGAATGTTGAACTGGTCATGCTGCCAGATCAAACAAAAACTATGATGGTCGCGCAAGTTCAACATGTCTTTATGAGCATATTGCATCACACCAGCTCCTAGTTCATATCCATGCTTCACCTCGTGTAGATGCCAAGAAGAAGGGATCCAATCCTTTGGCAGACTTTGCAGATAGTTTGAGACATCTTTCATGGTGGGTCGCTCCACAGGATCAATGGAACAACATCGCCTCAGGAACTCACGCATCTCCTTGGGACAATCGTCTGGCCCAACTGTGCACGGCTCCTCGTTGGTCAGCTTCTTGTCCAGAATAACGGCATCCTTTGCATACTTATTCAACTTGTCTGCTCCATATGGGTGCGCTTCTGTCACGACTTCATACATAGTGACTCCGAAGCTGAAGACGTCCGATAAAGTAGAGATGGGCTTGTCCTTGTATACTTCTGGAGCCATCCACTCCAGTGTGCCGCCTCCCGGACTTGCAGTTTTGCTTCTCCCCTCAAGCACCTCAAATGCAAGGCCAAAGTCGGTGACTTTCAGCCTGCAGGTGCTTGGATCCAACCCAAATATGAGGAAGTTGGAAGGCTTCACATCTGAATGAACAATTGGAGGGGAAAGGGAGTGCAAGAAACACAAACCTTTTGCTGCTTGCTGCAGGAGGTTGACTGTGTCACACCATTGAAGTGTCTTCTCACCGTGGCCCCTCCTGCATATGGCCCCTAAATCTGTATCTGCAGCTTCCATAACAAGCCAGCCAGAAAGTGTTGCTGCGTACACTTGGGCTACATGGGGATGGTGCAACCTCGCATGCACTAAAACTTCCTTGATGAAGCTTGCAAACTCCTCAATGGTTATGTCACATTCTCTTATTGGTATCTTCACAGCCACTCTCGCCAAGTTCCATTCCGCCTCGTACACTACCCCATAGGCACCCTTGCCTATCTGTCTCTTAAGCACAAGCATATCTTCCCCAATGATGTGCAGGTTTCCCATTTTCTCCTCATGTCTGCGTTTGATGGGGATCCACTCCAGAGGCACATCGTTGCTGATGCCGCTTTCTGCACCTTTGAGGATGTACGCAAGGAGTTTGTGTAGATGCTCTCTGTCTTCTTCCACTGAATCCTGGGGCACGCAGTCCTCCAGCTCCAGATCGCTGTCCACCTGCCATTCTTGTATTTGTGCTTTCAAGTATTCACAGATATCATCAACAGCGTTGCGCACCACCTCGCTCCTGTAGAAAGTTTGGATGTCGAAGGGTTCTGCGTGCTTGGCCAGGAGCCTGCGCCCCTTTTTGACAGCAAGATTGAAGGAGTTCCACTCTTTTGCTGACGCACTTGGTGGTTTCACCAGTTCCTTTACTCTGTCCAGTTGCACTTTCAAGAAGGACATCATTCTGTGATTGTACTGCATCCTGTCCTCTGTCTTCTAACAGCATGCCACACAACGACAAAATCGTAAGTAACTCATCATCTCCCACCACCGTTCATGCGCAGAGGTGAGGCGGCTTGGTTTGCGTGTCATGCAAAATGAAATGGTGTTGCACTTTCAACTGTGTCCTCGTTGGTGCACTGCACCCACACACGTTGCGATGTCCCCTCAAACACCAGGCGATGATACGATCCAGCAGGCACAATAGAATTGATTCAGAGAAATCATTACATTTGGGCCCTGCCCTGAGCCTTTTCGTGATAGCCCTTCGCGCGAGTAGCATCGAGACACGCGCCGCAGGGCATCAGATTGGCTTCAGTTTGGGCCCCAGAGGTCTAGCACACCTCGCTCGCTTCACCCTCTCGGTTTTTATCCCCTCTTTGCCGTGGAAAACGTTCCACGGCCTCCCCCACAGGCCAGTCGGTAATTGCGAACGCTGATCAGTCGATCGGGGCCTTGTACGGCATCCAATCCAGGGCCGCCAACGTCCTTACTCAGATCATGCAGCGACGAAACTTAGGAGCTTTAAGGGACGTCTGGCGGCCTCGCTTCGGAAAGCCGGAACAAAATGAGGCGTTTTGAGGGGCGTCTGGGCGCCTGCCTTTGGCAAGCCACGACATGCAACTCCCGGCGCCGCGACGGGGAGTTGTCGGCAATTGGCGCCCATAGGCAAGCCTTCCTCCAGAAGAAGCTTTAGCCCTTCGTATGCACTCACCGTTTCCGCCCTCGGCACAGCTTTCACGACGATTTCAACGTACGGCACCGAATGCGCAGCGGCAACCCGTTGACGCGCGTTGGAGCGCCCCCGCGGGAGACCTGCAACGCAACGGCCACCACAGAGCAGTGCACGTCACGGGATGGTACCGAGGGTACTCTGCCGGGCCCACCCCTGCCCAGCGGCACTGCACCACATGATGAGCCCCCAGGAAAAGTGAGCGAGACCCAACAGCCACTGCGAGGTCCAGACGCCCACTGTTCGCCGCGTCAAGCCTCCCTACCCCGGCCCTGCCACGGTTGGAATCAACACATACGATCACCACGCCGACATGCCAGGATTTAACGGAGTCCTGAACATTGCGCCTGTTGGGCGGGGCGGCGG